GCCACTAAGGAAAGGAAATGATAGTCATCGAGCCAGGATGAATCATGAGTCTTGTACCAATGGCAAAAGGCAGTAGATCCTAATGTAAGAGAGACCCAGTCCATAAGAGAAGCAATGTACTGATCCCACACAAGAATTGAAAAATATTTGTCCAGCTACTCAGAACTATCAACATCAGAGGCCCCGAGACTGTTCAACCCACTTCCACTACACATAAGGGACATAACTGGCCAACACCTCACAGTGTTCAAGAGAGAACTTGATAAGCACCTTCAAAGGATACCTGATCAACCAGGCTGTGACTCATATGTCAAACTGTGACCAGCCGCGTGCAACAGCCTGGTTGACCAGTCTAGCAACAAGAAGGCCTGGTCAAGGACCAGGCCGCAGGAACACTTAGCCCCCGAAACCATCTCAAGGTAACCTCAAGGTAATGTCGAAGGAGGCAAAAGGTAGGTCAACTAAAATCTCCAGATATAAAACTACCACAGAACCAAATGGAACATGGAAGCACACCCAGTAAGGCAGCCCCTATTTTTATTCTATCTTCCAGGGTTTAGTATATTTAACACCTTGAGTCTTTCATCATAGCTTTTCTTTTTCAGTTCCAGAAGCCATTTAGTTGTACATTTTCCAGTTAATTGATGTGCTTCTCGAGCACAATACAACTACTGCATCTTACAATTTTGCTCTCACAGTCATAAACAATTTCTTTAACATTTTGCCATCATGTAATTAAAAGTGATTCTGAAGTTGGAAAGCATAGCATACTATCCTCACACAGTGTTCTTTATGTGGTCATCAGGTGACACTTTCTGTAGGTTGTGTGTTGCCTATTATCTCTTTGTCCACATTCTATACCATGGAATTTATTCACATTAAATTCCATTTGCCATATGTTCCACTTTTTTGTCTAACTCTCCTTGAAGGACATGACAATCATCCAAGTTTCTTATCTTCCCTAGAAGTTTGGCGTTATCAGCAAACACGTTCATATAGTTCTGTCTGCCTTCTGGAATGTCGTCTATATAAACGACAATAAACATTACTGGTGCTAGAACAGAACCCTGTGGTACTCTGCTAGTAATATTTATCCAGTCTGATACATTACTTCTCATTACCACTTACTTTTATCAGAAAAATTTTCGTCAATGTCGGCTGTCTCAAATGTCACTCCTCCAGTATGTTCAAGTTTCCAAAACTTTTCATGCAGGACTCTTGTCAAAAGGCTGTTTTAGGTCCAGATAAATGCAGTCAACCCAACATCACTTTCCTGTAAAATCTCTGTGGCTCTATGGGGATTTATTACAGGATCTTCCTGTTTGTAAACCATAGTGTGTGTTATTATGTCATTACTCTCCAGGTGTTCTGCCCATTTGGTTTTAATGATTTTTTCTAATGTTTTGACTATCATGCTTTTAATGATAGAGGTCTATATTAAAGAGGGTCTTCTCTGCTTCCCTTTTTATACACAGGAATTATGTTTACCTTTTCTCCATGTATCTGCCAAGACTCTTGTACACAAAAGACGACTGAAAAATCAATTGATTTGGGATGCCGAGCTCAGCTGCACATTCTCTCATAACCCAAGGTGAAATGCCATCTAGGCCAACTTCTTGGTGTCTACCTAGCTCCTTGAGCTCCCCCCCCCCCACTTCACTTCGAGACACCTCTATGTATTCGATGGTGTTCTCGGGAATTGGCATTGTGTCTGGTTCTCTGAAAACCTCATTTTGCACAAACACACCTTGGAACTGTTTATTTAGTGTTCCATACATCTCCTTTTCATCCTTTGTGAATCTATTCCCCAGTTTCAACATCTGGATTTTATCCTTTACCTGCAATTTGATTTTAGTGAATTTACGGAATAGGCCGAGTTCTGCTTTACACTCGTCCACAATCCCTTTCTCAAAGTTCCTCTCTGCTTCTCTTCTTAGTGCCATGTAGTTGTTTCTTCCTTGTTTGCATTGCTAGTATGTTTGAGGGTTAGGCCTCTTCCTATACAAATTGCATTTTTTTTTATTATCTTTTGTTTTCTGGTGCTCTCACAATTTATGTTGAACCAGTCCTGCTTTCTAGCTCTGCATCCTTTTTGCTATATATTTTGTTGTACCTTCATCATATATCTCAAAATTTAGCACACATCTCATATTTCTTTGTCCAACAAATCTTTCCAACCAAATTTATTTTAAAGAACTTGCCAAGTTTCCCATACTGTCCTCTCATGAAATCAAGTTTTCCAATTGTTTCATCTCCCCTTTCTCTTCTAGATTATATCACAAAACATATTTAATTTCCAACAGAACATGACCACTCTTTTCCAAGGGAGAAGGTACTGGATGTCAAATATCTCTTCTTCTTTCCTGGTGAACAATAGATTCAGTATTGACAGAACATATCCTTCCCTCATTCTTGTGGCCTGCTTGATGTCTTGATACATGAATGTCAAAGAACAAGACCTATAGTCTTGTTCGTTTAGACAGTAAGCTGTCGCCAGCTTACAGAGGAACACAAAGAACATTGTGAGAGGAGAGTCAGCATTGCTTTCAACTTCAGACTTGCTTTTAATTATATTGATGGTGAAATACTAAAGAGACTTTTCATGACATTTGTGATACCAAAATTGGAATATGCAGCAGTTGTATGGTGGCCAAATCTCAAGAACCACACTAATAAACTGGAAAAGGTGCAATGGCATGCTAAAAAAATGGCTTCTGTAACTGAAAAACAAAGTTACGAGGAAAGACTCGAGGCATTAAACATGCCAAAACTAGAAGATAGAAGAAAAAGAGGTGATATGATCACCACTTACAAAATACTAACAGGAATTGACCAAATTGACAAAGAGGAACTCCTGAAACTGGCAACCTCATGCACAGTTTCTCATGCACATGGTCATGGATTCAAGCTAAGGAAACAAAGGTGCTGAAAAATTTTTTTTAGAAGTTTTCTTTTGCAAACAGAGTGGTAGACGGTTGGAACAAGTTAGGTGAGAAGGTGGTAGAGGCAAAACCGTCAGTAGTTTCAAAGCGTTATACGACAAAGAGTATCGGGAAGACGGGATACCACGAGCGTAGCTCTCATCCTGTAACTACACTCAGGTAATTACATGTATACAGACATACAACAGTGAAGAGAAGTGCAATGTTACCATGATAAAGATCCTAAGTGACACCCTCACAAGTCTACCTTATCTTATTAGTAAGTAATCAAAGCTAACTAAACAAAACATTAGTTAATTCCTATTACAAATAAGTTACATAACATACATAATGCTTTATGGGTTTCAAATTTGTTCATAAACCAATACTCACCTACATGTGAAAATGCCTAATACATTTCTACAATTGTAAATTGTGTACAAAATTTAAACAAAGTCATCTGATCACAATGACATTAATAAAAATAATTTTTAACATAAAAACATGCCATATTCTTTTACACTGTTTGATCTGTCAAAAATTATGGATTAAACAAAACCTACAATGGCAGCATTTAATTGATGTTCTTAAGTTACTGAGACACAGTAAATATTAAGGTGCACAAAATGTCTACCATTCTTGGAATCCCAAGTATGAAATTGACATTTATATTACTGTTAGATATGACATTTTAACAAGACAGGATAAGCATAATTGGAGAGGGGGATGCAAGGACACTGACCTGCAGCGTGTGCTGGTGGGCAGGAGGGGGAGTGTGAGCAGAGGGAGGGGTGGACAACGGTGGGGAGGTAAGGTAGCGTTCTCCACCACCAACACCAGTACCACCACCACTACCACCACCACCACCACTACTGCTGCTGCTACCAGCCCCACCACCACCACCACTGGTATTGATCTGGGATGGGTGGTGGGGATGGTGGAGAGCCACAGGCTGGTGCTGGTACTCTCCTACATCCCCTGCATGGTAGTAGTGAGCCAGGCCAGCCTTGGGGGCACCTGAGACAGAGGAGGCAGGCATGGGGACAGCCGCACTGTGACTGTGGGCAGCAGCAGCACCAGCAGCAGCAGCATGCTGAAAACACCACAACCACAAGTTAGTCGGCAGAGAAGCACCACGCCAACACATGCACACCCTCAGCCTAGTAGCACAAAGCAATGCTCGTCATGCAATCATCATACACAAATATCATCATACGCTGAAGCAGCAAAGCAAATCTGAAGAATGCATGCTTAAAACAATATTATATATTGTACTAAATTGCAATTTTTTTTCAAAATGTTCACAAGTGGTTTGAAAAATAATATTCTATTACTGATAAAAATGCATATAGTTAAGACCGGCACTGACCTAAACCTAACTTCATACTATCATCCCATATAAATTATGATACATACATTAAAATTAAATTAATGACCTAAACCTAACTTCATACTATCATCTCATATAAATTATGATAAATACATTAAAATTAAGTTGATCTTAGAATTTGTTTTAAGAGGTTAGCATTCTCTCTCTCGCCTTCATTCCAACCTGTAAACACACACAAAATCTTCGGCAAACATGACTTTCGTTTTTGTTTTCAAAGATTTCAATAAACCAAGACTTACAGTTAATAAGCAATATTTGTGTCATTTGTATCCATTTAAAGAAAGTATTGCTGAAACCTAAACCTGGAGTCTGCTAAGGTTAGCAGAGAAGAGGGTGAGTGGGGTAGGGAGGTTGAGGGGCCTAAATACTGCTGTTATCTCAGACATGCTTAAAACACCAGAGATTGTGCCACTCCACAAATGGGCTAAGTAAATAGCTCTAACCTCACCCATCATAAAAATCTTTTAGAGTCCTATGATATCCTTTGGATGAGGCCCTCTGGGGACAAGTTAGGTGTGACATCAACCCCTAGATACTTTTCTCTACGTAACCAAGAGAGATACCAAATAATATACACATGGAAAATACTGGAGGGTCAGGTCCCAAATCTACACAGTAAAATAACAACGTACTGGAGTGAACGATATGGAAGAAAATGCAAGATTGAACCAGTGAAGAGCAGAGGTGCCATAGGCACAATCAGAGAACACTGTATAAACATCAGAGGTCCGCGGTTGTTCAACGTCCTCCCAGCGACTATAAGAAATATTGCCAGAACAACCGTGGACATCTTCAAGAGAAAACTGGACAGTTTTCTAAGAGAAGTTCCGGATCAGCCGGGCTGTGATGGGTATGTGGCCCTGTGGGCCGCTCCAAGCAACAGCCTGGTGGACCAGACTCAAGTCGAGCCTGGCCTCGGGCCGGGCTTGGAGAGTAGAAGAACTCCCAGAACCCCATCAACCAGGTATCAACCAGGTATCAACCTACTGAAGGATTTCACCTCCCAGATGGTACCTTGTGTTTGGCCTCCTGTTCCCTTTGCCAAATTTCATTTCTTTACACTTACCCCGAGTTAAACTTTACAAGCCAATTTCTACACCATTCCTCCACTTTGTCCAAATCATCTTGTAGTATTTTTCTATCTTCCTGTCTTGATCCTTCTCATTAATACAGCATCATCATCAGCAAACATTGAGAGGAATGAGTCTATACTCTCTGGAACAGAGGTCGCCAACCTTTCGGAGCTCACGGATCACCAAATTCATAATTAAGTCTCCGTGGTGTAGTGGTAAGACACTCGCCTGGCGTTCCGCGAGCGCTATGTCATGGGTTCGTATCCTGGCCGGGGAGGATTTACTGGGCGCAATTCCTTAACTGTAGCCTCTGTTTAACGCAACAGTAAAATGTGTACTTGGATGAAAAAACGATTCTTCGCGGCAGGGGATCGTATTCCAGGGACCTGCCCGAAACGCTACGCGTACTAGTGGCTGTACAAGATGTAACAACTCTTGTATATATCTCAAAAAAAAAAAATTTAAATCCCGTAGTTCACCAAACAAGAAATTATATTTATTAAAGTCAAACTATGTCATTAAATGTAACAGTTAAAGAAAATACACAGTTACATACAACATAAAAATAAAATTGTCTGGCGGACCACTGGTTGGTGACCGCTGCTCTGGAAGATTGTTTACATATGTGATAAACAGGATGGAGTCCAAGTACAAAGTCCTGAGGGACTTGCCTGGTGATATCTTGCCACTCTGAGGTCTCCTCCCACACAGTAACTTGCTGTTTTCTGTTAAGATCCTCCCTTACACACTGGAGCACCTTACCTGTTATTCGTGTCTATTTCTGCAACTTTTGTAACAGCCTCTTATGGGGTACAGTGTCAAGAGGCTTTATGACAGTCAAAAAAAATGCAGTCTACCCAGCCTTCTCTTTCTTGCCTAATTTTTGTTGCCAGGTCATAGTATTCTACTAAACCTCTGAGGCACACTTTACCATCCCTGAACCCAATCTGGTGGTGTCATAACACTCCTCTTCTCCAGATGTTCTACGAGCTTTTTCCTCACAATCTTTTCCTTCACATTGCATGATATACAAGTTAGGAAAACTGGCTTCTCAGTTTCATTACTTGTTTCTTTACTGTTGCTTTCCTCCTAATGTGGCTGTGAAGAGGTTTTGGTTGGGTCCTGGCTTTGCCTGTGATGTCATTTTCATATTATCCCTCTGCTTTGTTCCTCAGTGAGATACTCGTTCCTGGCCCTCTGGTATCTCCTGCTCTCTGATGTTATGTTATTTCTGTAGTTCCTCTTATACTTAATTGCTTTACTTCCTTACAGGCCTGATTGAACCATGGATTCTTCTGTTGCTTTTCATTTTTTCTTATTTTGGGTTGGGATACACTTGTCTGCAGCTTAGTGCAGCCGGTTGTCAAGGCGGTCCAATATGTGGAACCACAACCACTCACAAGAGCTGCACCATGCCTTCAATGAAAAGTGCTAGCAGCCAAAAGAAGTTGAAGACCAGGTTTCAAAACTGTGGAAACACTGACAAAAATGAACAAGGCCACAGAAAAAGAAAATGAGACAGGCTAAGGGGCAGCCCACAAAGCCAGGGAAAATGAATTAAAAGGTCATCCACAAAGCAGAGAATAAAATCTAAAACATGGAATGGAAAAAAAAATTATGACCACAGAGTCAGAGATCCACACAATGAAGAAAACCAACTGGTAACCCAGTAGGAACAGAGGGAACCCAACTTGCAAAGACCAAACATGGACAAAGAGTTGAGGCCTGTTTTGGGCTTCTCAGGCAGCTGCCACTTAGCATGTCTGTTTTTCCCAAGTGCATTGTTGCAGCTTGGTGTTGATGTGGATGCCCGAGTCAGTTCATGCATTTTCAGGTTTTGGAGCTGTGTTGGTTCATGGTTATCTTGAGATGATTTCGGGGTTTAGGGTCCCCACGGCCTGGTCCTCGACCAGGCCTCCTTTTTGTTACACATACCCCAGGAAGCAGCCCGAAGCAGCTGTCTAACTCCCAGGTACCTATTTACTGCTAAGTAACAGGGGCATCAGGGTGAAAAACATTTTGCCCATTTGTCTCCGCCTCCACCGGTGATCGAACCCAGAACCTCCGGACTACAAATCCGAAGCGCTGTCCACTCAGCTGTCAGGCGCCCTGTTCGTAAACACCTGTTCTCCATTTGCCCTGCCATTTAGCAGTCTCTCCATTATTCTTTCTTCTGTATGCCTTCCAAGTTCTTTATAGCTTTGCTACATTTTTCTCTCTTACCTAGATACATTTGGGCTGGTCAGTATTGCAATAGCCTCACTTCTTGCAGGGTTGATGTTTAGTCAATGGTGGTGCAAGTTCTATAGAGCCATACAGAATTGACTCTTTCTCCCGATAATTATAGTACTGTACCTTTCTTTATTGTCTAATGTTTCATGGAACCTCTAATTCCTCTCTCTCTCATTCTCCTGTCACGTGTCCCTTGCAAATATTCAATTGTTTGACTTGACTTCATCTTAACACTTTGGCGTACCCCGTGTGCCACCCCTCAACTGTGCGATATGGGACCCAGGGTGTCAAGGGAGCGCGCGTAAATTCTGAAAAGTGTATACTCTCTTCAACTTTGTCACCTTAATTCTCGTCCTACGAGATTAAATTTGGTATCATTGTGTTCGCAATAGAATTCTCTACAGCACTAAATGCATATAAACTCCAAAAGCCCGGCTAATTACTCGCAGCAAACAGAGAAAGTGCGAACGAGTTACCCAGGAGCGCTCAAACGCGATAAAATGTTTTCACTATTTTCACTGGTCACCTCAATTTTCGTCCTAGGTCTTTCATTTTGGTCTCAATGGGTTCGCAATAGAATTCTCTAGAGGAACATTAGCATATAAAATAAAAATCTTGGTCACGCTCCAACCACCGACAAGTTGAAGACGGGCCACGCGTTAGCCGCGAGTGAGCGCTCAGACGCCTTCCAGCTACACTCCCAATTCCCGCCCTTTTGAAGCCTTTCTTTCGCAATTTTCTTCCTGGAAGGGCCTTGTTCATGATCACTATCCATCGTGGAGTAAGTGTAGATAGTTTCTAAAGCCGCAGTAAGAAATATAGCCACGGAAAATAGCCGAAATGTTCACACGTTTGAGATGCGAGGGGAGGCGACATTGGTCACAACAGTGGAGCGAAAACAATGGGTCCACGGCATGTGCCAAGCCGCCTGAGGGCCACGAGGCTCAACAAAGAAAATGGGAAGACATCGGCGCACATTTTAAAACCAGTCCCAAAAAAATCGGAAAAAAACCTGATTTTTGGCGATTATTTAAAGTGGATGACGCAATGCTGCATCATGCCCGGGCGAAAGTGTTAACTTCATCTTGAAGCCTTATGCTTTTTGCCATCTCTCTCTACTTCTTATAATGCCTTTCTTTAACCACTTACTACTGCAACTTTTATCCTATCCCTAAGCTAATTTATTGAATTCCTATTCACTCTCTTGTTGGGTATTAGCATTCTGGACACGAGCTGAACTAATCTGCACACATTCTCTGCTCCCTATCTCCTTTCTATTATCACCACTCACCTTCACTACCCGTATTCCATCACATTATCTATTCTTATTTTACACAAAAAATATTCTACCACTTTACACCAGATACACTAGCTAGATCTAGCAGAAAATACACACCA